AAAGCGACGCGACCGTGTGATGAAGACTATTTATCAAGCAGAACTCAAAACGGTGGAAGTTGAGTGCGCGCTCAGAGATTGTGAAGACGATGGACATCAGATAGATCTACTCAGAGACTATACCAGGAGAATTCAGTGCGGATTGATTTTCAATGGAGCCTTTGTAGAGAAAGAAACACCTAACGCTCAAACTCTAATCAGCTATGACATGATGGGAGAAATAAACGCAGGGAACTTCTTAGCCAGAAAGAGCTTGGAAGACGTGAGATCAACAGAAGGACAATATGAAGGTCACAGAGTGATGTTAGAAGCAGCCAATCAGGAAGCAATACCTTCAGAAGGACCATTGACAAAAGCCTTCAGACCTAGAGAGCCATCGACCAAGAAGAGTATGAGGTAGAGCAGGCAAGCCACGCGTGTGGTCGACTGGAAGGAAAGCTCAAGCAACTCATAGAAAGACATTGCAACGTAATAGGGAGAGGAGTAGAAGAGGCAGCGGATCAAGTTGAAGTATCAAGAGTTGCTAGAATGCGCAGTTATGAGAAGAGACAACCCAGACAGACCAGTACCAAGAATCTCTGGGAACCCCGTTCCTTAGAGAAAAGAGAAGACCTGCAAAGACATGACGCAAGAAAATGCGCTATGGTGCTAGACCGACCTCAAGGTAGCAATTCGATCGCTCACACTACCAAGAAGGAGTGTGAAGCGTTTTCAGTAGAGATCATAGCTATTGTATATAGCATTACTAGCGTGACAGCTTGTACATGAAACTGTGTTGGAGCCCTCTTTGGATCAAGAAAAGATTCGCAAGTTCGCAATACACAATATTGTAGAGCTTCTCAAACTGGGGACGCCATAAGGGTTGTTGTGGCTGTCTCTGTTGTTGTCTGTTGTCCAATAGCGATGGCCTGTGTTGTGCTCTCTTTAGGCGGCTGGGCGCTGTCGGATCCACGACCGGGCCTGGGCGTTGGTGCTCCGGTGTCTCGGTGGTACCTCGGTCATGTTTGGGTGGTGCCCTGGTGATGTTTGGTTGGTGAAGGAGCGTCTGGGTTTGCTGTTATGGTGGTGTATCGGTTCTGTTTTGGCTGTGGTTCGCTGATGTTTTGGCGGTGTCTCTTTGTTGCGGCTGTGCCTCGGTCTCGGCCTTTGTGGGTGTATGAACTGTGCGCTTGCATGTCCACACACCTGGAGCACATTACGTGCTGGCGCTTAAACATCATATTGCTCGTAAATGTATAAACTATGTGTCGAAGAGCATCCCGTGTATGGGTTTTGTGCAAAATCCTAGTTGGTGAGCGCGTGCGTGTTCTGCTTATTATATAGATGTTTGTTTTCTCTTTCTTTTTGAAGCAGCGTTAGTATTCGTGATTGTGTGCGTATAAATTAGTTATGCGTTTGGGTGTCCAAATGCGTGTCTTTTGTGGTGGTGCAATGAATGGGGTTATCAAAAGGAACATAAGGCATAGCTTAAGTACTAACAATGCGTGTTTTTTTGAGAATACAATGTCTTTTCTTCTCGTAGTGGCATGTTGTTGCCACATGGTTGCCACATGTTCATATTGATCCCCTATGTTATCCTTTCCCTATGCTATCCGTTGACACGTCTCATTCTTTGTCTGTGTGGAAACTGTTTGTGCCGATGTCGAAACACCTACGGTGCTTGGCGCGACCATTTTTATACGTATGTTTACCACTTGCGTTTGAATACTTTTGGGGAGTCTTTTTCTCGGGTGCAAAAATGGTGCGGTGGCAATAAACATCCCTTAAGTGCGCCGTGGTCATCACTACTCCCTTAACTTGCCTGATCCCCGCCCTGCCGGAGGATGTCAAATTTGAAATTTAAAATTTCCGATTTTTGCAGATAGCATTGTATAGGGGGGCTGGAAATTGTTAGATCCAGGGTTCATGTACCTATGTGATAATGTTGCATTTTTTTGGAACAACCCCTTCAAAAAAGTTCTTGCCTCTGACATTACAGTTTGAAAACAAGGGGAGGGGGAGGTATGAATTGTAAGAACTGATGGGCAGGTACCTCGCAATAAGAAGTTACAAAAAATTACACTTCTTTCTCCCTGTCAGCTTTGCTCTCGAATTGCTTTGCTTTCGTGGTTTCCTATCAGGTTCTGTTTATTTGAGCGACATGTCTCTGGTAAATCTCTCAAGCTCCTCCCTCTTCCAAGAAATGTTGAAGCCAGCACAAGCAAGGAAAAACATTGCGCAGCGCGTCCTTTCAGTGCACCCAGAAGGCCACATAAAGATTAGATCACCCCTCACCCCATTGCTGAAGCTCTTCAATCAAATGTTGAAGTTAGCCAGCGCGCTACAGTGCGCCCAGAAGGCCATACTAGAAATTAGATACCCGCAGAAGCAGAGGCATTGCTTTCTAGAGCTCCTCCACCGGGACCACTCGGCCCACCAAAAGCAGCAACAACGCAGACAAACAAACCAACCAACCAAACAAACAAACGGATCCAAACCCACGGATTGGAAATTGGAATTACAATTTCGAGGGTCCGGGCCCATGCATCCACCTGACGCTCAAAAATGTAACTTACATTGTTTGAAAGCGCTGTCTTTTCAGATGCAGGTATTTTATACCTCTAAGATCAAGAATCACCGTTTTCCAAAATCTGCATTTTTGAGCAGCCCAAAATTGTAAAGTAAAGATACAATTTTGAGCCCCCGGGGTCTAAGGGAGAGTGATTCGGGGTCTATGAAAAGATTATGTTGCTTGGATAGTGAACTTGTTCTTGTGTAAGTTGTTGTCAAAAGATGATTTTGCGATTGCTCTTGAACATGTTTTGATGTTGGTGAGAAAGTGTTTCCGACGTGCAAAAAGCTGCTTGCTAGACATTGCGTTTCCTGTATCTTTCGTGTACAAGCCATGCCTTGGCGCGAGTGCGCGCAGTCATTGCTTCGATGTATATGTCCTGCTTCCTGTTGTAAAACATCCGCTTTGCTTTTATTACTCGCTTGGTTTTGGGCGCTTGTGTATGAACTTATGTGCTTGGGTGTCACAACGTGTATCTTCTTGGCCGCCAAAACTTCACCTATGTCCTTTTTGACATCTGCGTTCATTGCGCTTTTCGTGTCTTTTATGGGTTCGTCCGTCGACTAATTTTCCTCCTCCTTTGGCGATTTTTCCTGTCATCTGTATAAGCAAATCTCCTCAGCGTTTTCTGTCTGAGTAGGAGGTGCGCGCCGAGAAAAATAGGCGTCCCTCTTCCTTGGCACGAATCTTTTGTTGCGCTGTATTTAATTGGTTCTTCGATGTGTGGACTATGCGCAGGCGCTTGAACCTACAATTCGGCCGTCGGCGAATATCCCGTAAGTGCTTCGTGGTCTATGGAACACGTTTGGGCAAGTTTGTGTATGGCATTCCTTGTCTTCGATATTCGATGTGAAAGAACAATCATTGTTGCATTGAATGCAACGAGCCACGCGCGAAGAAAGAATGCCCCAGATCTTCGCGGATGCTTCGCTACTGGGGTTGTTAGCTGATTTAATCAATTGTTGTTGCTGTTGTCGGACAGCGTGCTTTTGGCGTAAACCAACATGATATTTACTAGTTGCTTTTACGTTCGGGGTCAAAAAAACATTGTAAATATCGATGCTTTTGATCTTCAGCAAGCCACAACATGTCATATTTACGATGTTTTTTGCCGCGGGGTGCCAAAGCCAATGTTTTCGCAATTCGTTTTTTATGTTTGCTGCCAAAGGCGTCCAAAGCACGGTTTTTGGAAAGCATGCTTGTGTAAACGCGGCGTGTCGCTGGGGAGGAGGATGTTGCTGGGGAGCGGCATGATTGGCGGCGCCCACAACGCTTGGTGTTACATTGTTGTATCTGGTCTGTGGCACACTGTGTGACGACGTGACGTGTGTGATGTCGCTGTGCCTCGGTGGAAAGCGCGTTTGCGTGAGTCCGTGTGTTGCGGGAAGGAAAACACGCTGGTGTAAATTCGGCGGGTCGCTGGGAGCGGAATGATTGGCGGTGTCCGCGAAGCTTGTTTCTTTACACTGTTGTATCTAGTCTGTGGCGCACCGTCTGCCCTTTGTGCCATGCGGTTTTGCGCGGCCTCAGTGGAAAGCGCGTTTGTGTGAGCCCGCGCCGTTGGGGGAAGGAAGCACGCTGGTGTAAATTTGGCGTGTCGCTGGGGAGCGGGATGATTGGCGGCGCCCACCATTGTCTGGCACACCGTGTGGCCACGCCTTTGCGCAAATCCGTGCCACTGGGGGGACAGCGTGCTGGTGTAAATTCGGTATGTTCAAACGGTTGTATCTAGTCTGTGGCGCACCACGGGTGTCGCATGAGAGTACCCAAAAGAGCTTTCCACAAGAGTGAGTGTCCCGCAAGTAAGAAGAGTGTCCAACAAGAGTGCCCCAAAAAGCATGAGAGTAGAGTGTCTCGCAAGAGTGTTTTACAAGGCAGTGCCACAAAGGAGTCCCACAAGATTGCGTCCCGCGAGAGTTTCCACAAGAGTGTCCCACGAGAGTGTCCGACAAGAGTGCCCCACAAGAGTGTCCCACAAGAATTCTTCCAGAGTCTCCAACGAGTGTCCCACAAGAGCATTCTACAAGGGTGTCTCCTACAAGAGTGTCCCACAAGTGTGTTGCGCAAGAGTGTCCCACAAGACAGACTCCTACAAGGGTGCCCCACAAAAGTAAGAGTGTCTCCGTCCTACAAAAGTGTTCTACAAAAGTGTCCCGCAAGAGTGCCCCGCAAGAGTGTGGCGCCAGAGTTTTCCACAAGAGCATCCCACAAGAGTGCCCCGCGAGAGTGTCCCACAAGAGTGTCCTGCAAGAGTGTTTCACAAGAGTGTCTTACAAGAGTGCCCCCACAAGAGTGTCAAACAATGTTCGGCCGTTTGTTTTCAAGTGCATGTTTGCATGCGGGTTTGTGGGTTCCATCTTGTTTTTTGAGGAACGTATGTAGTTATATTGTACATAGATACTTGAATACTATGTCACTATGTATGGTTTCCATGCAGTGCAGTGGACAGGATCCTGCTGCGCATGGCGAACCTCTTTACTTGGATGTTTGTCAGGGGCTCGGGTTCAGCGTGAAGTCGTAGTGCCCAGCGCTTCCCTGCGCCAACTTTGTCAGGCACATCACTGCAGAAGGCCAAGTGCACAGCAAATGTCATCAACGGCCGTTATGGTAGCTTGGCGACTTTCTGGAAAAACTTGACGAATAGATTTTGCGTGAGTTTCCATGAGTTAATCCTGTCCAACTATTAAACACACGGCCCCCCCTATTAAGAAAAAATTCGGTCGCATTTTTTAAATAGGGGGTCCCTGAAATCGGGATGGCCAAAAAATAGGGTCAGTGGAAGGATCCTTGAATTGTTGACCTGGAAGTGCCTCTCAGTGCAGGCAACTTTGTGGCGCGAATGACGCAAACAACACTGAGTCAAACATTTTGTGAGAAATCCACAAGTCCGCTGCAAACGAAGATTATGTTGTTCATTTCGATTGATGCAAACGCTGCAGAAGTATAGAGTATGAAGTTTAACACCACCCTGCTTAAAGCTAAGCCGTGCATCTGAATTTTGTCTGAGGCTTGTCAAGCAAAGACTTCACTCCAGGCATGGTGGATGCCATCTATCAGAATCTGAGATCCAGGCCTATGTGAAGTTTGGGAACAACTCAAAATCTTGACAAATTTTGTTTGTTATGATGTTGAACTTGTTGAATTTACATTTTTGATGTCAATTTTCATGCCCTTTGAATGAATTTGTAAAAATTGGTAGCTCTGAGTGAATTCAGAGTCCTATGCAAGACCTGGTCACAGAAATAGCGATTTCTACACTTTGCCATTAAAATTTGTAGGAACCCAAAGCATCCTTTCACTGTGGGCTTGGATGATGCGGCTTGGACGATGAGCATGTAGCATGTCAAATCAGTTTCATGGAACTTGTTCGGTTTTGGCCAAGGACGTCACGCATTACTCACTACCATTCGGTCGCTTAGAGACTGTGCCTGAGACCACGAAGCAGTGCATTTTTTGGGGCTTTGGCAGCGTCACTCAGCATGCAATGCAGTATCCGTATTGACTCATTGACCTGGAAGCAGCGATTGATTGGGTTCAGGGGGATTGTAGATGACCTGAGTGAGCCAAAATGACATGTCTTTGCTTTCGGCTGTGGTTTTTTGGGCCTGTGGCTGTCGGTTTTAACATTTCAATATGACTGATGGACCGAATGCCATTGGCAACCGTTGGACTTTGTGCCAATTGCGTCATGGTCACAATTTTTCAGCTGCAAACACACATACTTTGTAGTATCAAAACAAATGCAATTGAGTGGGTCATCCTGGGCAAAGGGTGCGAAGTCCGAGAATATATACCCTTACATATTCACAAGTACAAGGCGGCCAACTGAGGGAGAATACAGATGTTGCAACATGTGACCACTGTGAGAAGCTAAGGATGGCACAGTCGGTGCTAACAAGAATACCATCAAGATCATTGCCCAGTTGCCAAGCTGCATATGGTCCACATCATACAGATGATCTTACGGATCTCTACAATAAGACCTGTTGTACAGCAACTTGCCACTGCCCTGAACTCCAGTTCATATGCCAACATGCCTGATTTAGTTATATATCCTCGCCGTTCTCTTAAGGAACACTCCACTTTATGCCCAAGGCTATTTCAAATACGATGCGCTGAAATCAGGCTCGAAAGTAAAAGGACAACGACGGGGTGTGTCGGCCTGGGCGTTGTTTGACTTGGCTTGAAATTAGTAGAAAGGTTTGCAACAGGGGAACAGCAAATTTACGTCCAACACACACTTATGGATATGCGTACTGACTTGACAGCGGTGCCACACGCCAGCCTAAGTTATTTAGAAGGCCCGAGATGTCAGGAAATAGTAGGTTAAAGGCCATCGGTTTTGGGTTGGAGGTCAACGCAGGGCTGTTGAGGGCCAAGACCTAAGGTTGGAGGCCATCGCTAGTAGGCGGTGGACCATAGACACAAAGTGACAGCAAGAAGCAAAGTTGGAGGTCATCGCTAGTAGGTTGGAGGCCAGGGTACCAAGTTGGAGGCCAGTGCTACCAGGTTACAAAACCACAAGAAATCACACAAGACAGCCAAGGTTGGAGGTCCTCGCTAGTGGGTGGAGGCCAGGGTGCCAAGTTGGAGGCCAGTGCTACAAGGTTACAAGAAGCACAAAAGCACAAGAAGCAAAAGACAGCAAGGTTGGGGGCCAATCTAGTGGGTGGAGGCCAAAGTTCAGGTTAGAGAACCCCTTACAAAGTTGGGAGGCCTACCTGCAAACCTGTAGAGTAGTCTAGAGGAAAACAGAAGGAAAGGCGCCGACACACAAGTGTGTCGAGTACCATTTCCTCGTGTTTTCCTAAATAGTGGAACAGGCACAGGTGGATGATCAGTCCACCCATCCCTCGTTTTACCGTAGCTTCATTGCGTACGGTGGGTATGACGAGCCGTACGCCCCTGTTCCAAACCTATAGGTTTTGTTTGATTCCAAGGGGTACACACGCACGCCTCCCCGAAGGGAGGCATGTGTGGCCTCCATCCTGCCCGGAAAGGAGGCAAGGCACATGTGCACGCAAAAGGGACGGATGAAAATGAAAAGACCGAAACAGACAAAGGTGTGTGTGGTTGCCGATGAAGAAAGACCACGTGAAGAGGGACAACCGATGAACCAAACCTCATTGTAACAAACCTGGGCCACCTAAACCCCGTTGTAAGTAGAGTACGCGTGCGTGTATGTGTGCAAACTAAGGTCCGGACGATAGTACGCGCAAGAGAAAGAAAGGATGAGGATGAGGAGACATGAAGACAGAAAGACATGAAAGAAAAGAAGGAAGAACGTCTGTGGGGGCCGATGAAAGGGGAACCAAAAGAACGGGGACAAACCGATGACAGTCCAAACCTCATCAAAAAAACCTGTTGCAGAAGCCTAGTTTGCTTGTAAACACGCCGCGCGCGAGGAAAGAGGGGG